AAAAATACCTTTCACCCCCCCCCCTAAAATTCCATACCAGACCCTTGATCTGAGCACAGGGCTGGCAGGACAGGAAAGGGGTGGGGGCGAGTGAGTGCCCCCCCTTCCTGCGATACCAGGCCACATGCCCTCGGAGCTGGGAGGGTGCTTTTCCAGGTCTGCCCCTGGAAAAGCACCTTGCCCCTGTGCCGATGGCAGAGTCAGCTGTCATTAACACAGCTGGGTGGATCTCGACAGTAATGTCGGGATCCGTCCCAGCTGAGGCGGTCTCACTATACCACGAGCTGTAGCTTGCCATATACTGAGCTTTGGGTCATGGGAGGATGCTAGTATATGTCCTACAGTGACCCATAAGAGAACTATGGGGAAAACACTTACCCCATACTTATCTTTTAAGTGTGACAATGCTCAACACGAAGAATCCCGTTATTTTCAATGGTGCCCATTCACACCTGAGCATTGTGTTGCTTGCAAAAGTAGATGCACCTTGTTTCGGGTGCATTTTTAGCCCTATAGACTTTAATAGGAGCAACTAAAAAGTGTACGTAACACGTGTTTTTTGCACAATTGTGTGCCTAATAGCTGTCTCCTCCTAATGGCCAAAATACAAACACCTGTGTAAATAAACATGTAAAATTCACACAAGAAAACAATCAAAATTGCCCCCAAATGCTCATGCTCTATTGTCAACATGGGCTAGAAAAACATAAAATACAGAGGGGGGAATTTATCAAGACTGGAGCAGACAGAATCTGGAGCAGTTGCCCATGGCAACCAATCAGCTTCTATCTTCAGTTTATTCAGTTAAGGTTTAAAAATGAAAGAGATAATCTGATTGGTTGCCATGCACATCTGCTCCAGATTTTGTCTGCTCCAGTTTTGATAAATCACCCTCAATAACTATTCCCTTATTTTTTTTAACCTCTTGCCGTCCGCCCGTAGTAGAAAAACGGACGGACGGCACTGCTGCATCAGTAGATAAAAATGCTCAATTTGACACAACTTGGTAGTGGAAATACAGCATTGCAGGGCTTGCTGATACACGTAGTTCCACCAGACACGCCTATACAGAAGCTGATCATGTTACATGTATGTGATATCTGGTTTGGAAAGGAGGAATAATAATTGATTCTTCCCCTTTTCTGATCTGTGTGACATTGTTTGCTCCCCTATTATTGCTCCAGCCCTACACACACAGCAGTAGATGCTGTTTCCGTGCTAGCAATGTCAATAATACTACACACGTGAAAACAGAAAGGGCTTCCTGTTAGCGTCCAGTCACCCTGGCAACGGAACGATCCATATACACGTAAGGGAGGGGGGAGCTTTTCCTTCAACTCGCTTCCAGGGAGCTTGTTACCTTCCTGCGAGTATTCCGAATGTGAATACTTTTCTATATTAATACTGCCAGCTTTATGTCGGTGTTTTAGTAAGAGGATGAGTGGAGGAAATACACCGACGACATAAAGCTCTCCCTGTGATGTAAGATGGGCTGGCCTGTTGGATGGTTGCAGGAAGCCTGTTGCCTGGAGTCAGAATATTGGGGACCCCATCAACCTGGACGCAGAGTCCCATCTCAGAACCGTCTGGAGTGTACAGCCCGGGGGACAGAGGCAACATGGAAAATGAGAGGTTTGGGGTGGTCAGAAAGTCAATGAACAACAACCAGCTCCTGCAAAAGGTAAAGGAATGTCTTCTGTTGAACTTAATTATATTGTATTCATTATATTACTGTATATCTCTATATCTCTCTCTCTTCAGAAGCTGGTGAAGCAGATCTCTGCTTCGTCAGCTTCTCTGGAAGTCCCTAGGTGACATTAGGGGTCCTGGAGACCCCTTATGTCTCCATAAAGAGGGCCTGTCATGTAAACTGGCTTATAAAGTTAAGTGTAAAAAAAATAGTAATAAAATAATGAAAGACGCATTAAAAAAAAATTAAAAAACATTTTTTGTTTTTTAAGTTCCCCGCCCCCACATACACACGCAAACATACGTCGGGTGCGACTACATGCGAAAATGACGATTGCGCCTATTGTGCTGCACATGTTACATATCATCGCAAACGTCAGCCTGAGAGCAATAATTTTGGGGCCATTAATCACTGATAACACTAAACTGATGAGCAGTAAAAGCGTTTAAAGCATCACCTATGGCCAATTTTGGGTGTGGTCTTTTTTTTGTGATTTTTGCGAGTGCACGCAATTTTAAGGCTTGACATGTTTGGTGTCTATTTACCCGACGTGACCCCGTCTTTTATATTTTACCAAAAATATGAGTAATAATATATGTTTTTTAACATAACGTAGGCAAAACATTTTTTTCTTTCAAAATTTTCGGAACTTTTTCATTATATAGTAAAAAATAACCCCCCCCAGTGGTGATAAGGTCGGCTTGAACTATGAGGATGAGTGACTTTCACTCACCTCTAGTTCTCCTTTTAATATGGACTTCAGCTCATTTTGTGTCTACAACAATAATGTGTAGAGACCTGCAGGGGGCAGCAGAAAGTTACATTTCGGAGATGTGCTGCATTTTAAAGATCTATAAAATCATGAATGGAGTATCTAGAAGTGGAAAGAGTTCTAGGAAACCAATTGGGAAGTGAGCTCTCTGGAAATGTATTAAAAAGTTAAAGGAGAACTATGAGGTGAGTGTTTTTCACTCACCTCATAGTTCTAGCCGACCTGTGACAATGAGACTGTCACAGGTCGGCTCAGTAGATCGGTAAGTGAGTGAACACATACCAGGTTCGCTCACCTCTCGATCCTGTCACAGCTCTCTGCCGTGACAGGGGAGGGACTGGATTCCCCCCTCCCCGCTCCGATCCGCCAGCGCTGACTGGCGGAATGGACGGGGGAGGGGGCGGGTACAGCTGGCTCTGCCTCTAGATAGGCAGAGCCAGCTGTCACTCACGCAGCTGTGCGCATCCAGACATAATTGTCGGGATCCGCTTCAGCTGCGGCGTCTCAGTATACCGCAAGCTACTGAGCCTAGGGTGACGGGAGGACGCTAGTTTGTGTCCTCCCGTTACCCTAAGGAGAACTATGGGGAAAAGCCTTAACCCCATAGTTCTCCTTTAAATCTGAGACACAAACATTTGAGTTATCTGCTTAGTCTACAATAGCAGTCAGTTTGAATATAACTGTATGGCATTGTTAAAATGTAAATAGTCATGTCATCTCACATCCAGGAGTCCCCTTGGTTCTCTCCCCTCTCACCCTATCACCCTGTATGATGTACAGATCTCCCTGGAGTCTTCTCATTTACCAGAGAGCTGACTCAGCCCTTTTCCCTGCATAGCTCCCAGGTGACCCGTACAGGGCGTGGGCAGTAGCTCAATTCCTTAGATAATACACCGCAGGGACGTGCGGTCAGGGAAGGCACAGCCTCACCTAGTATTATGGAGGAAAAAGCTGTCAGCTTCAAGTCTGAAGCTGACAGCTTTTTCTCCACTCAGAGCAGCTTCTATCACGTTACACATCAGGGGAAGCCTCCCCACTGTGTAACCTGTAATGGATGGACTACTGCCTGTTAATTACAGGCGGCGCTTCATACGGCTTTTGACAGCTAGTTAGGTTACACAGCAGTGGACTTCCCCACTGCTTGTGTAAGCTAACTTGGTGAGGCCAGAGCTGTCACAGCCTCTACTTGATGTTAGATGCTTGGGCTCTGTGGATGGTTTGAACCAATGGCAAAGATGGCAAAGTGCATCTGGTCCAAGCTGTCCAATCAAAAAAAAAAGAACAGTGAGGCCATCGATCTCGATGCCTCCCTCCCTCCTCCACACTGCTTGGTGGCAGGGCTGAGACAGGCGGGGTATGGGTGGAGGTGGGCTGGGGACGGGCAAGGGGGAATGCCTCACTGAGAACGGACTCCACTGCACGTCACTGATGCACAGAGTACAGAGTATTCATGTATGTTGGGTGTGATTATCACTATCTGTTCTAATTCTTCATGTATGGACCCAGAGCTGTAGCTAGCTCCTTTTGCGCCCGAGGCAAGAACAAAAAAAGTGAACCCCCCCCCCCATATCTGCCCTTAGTAAACAGGCCACCGTCAGAAAACTGGGGAAGAAAAGAGAAATAAGTTATGCAAAGAATACAAAGCCGGCAATTATCTAGAAGTATGTGATTGTTGATTATCATTACTAAACATCTCTAAAGGTGCGGTTGTTGTTACTTTAAAGATATGGGTAAAGGTCCTCTTTAATTTCGGGTCTTTAGTTTTGCTTTAAAGCTGCCATTATATGATGTGGTCACTTGATGGCGACATAAGACAAGTTTTTCCTGTCTCCTTTAAGTACCATTTACAACACCTTCTCAGTATTGTATTTCACTGGAGACAATGTGAAACATTTAAGTCTAGACAAACTGTATTAAAGGCTTTATTTGTTAGTATTAACCCCTGCAGACGAGATGTAACTGTGTCCTAACCAGATCTACTTAATTCCTTTCCGGTCTGATGTGCAGTAAACTAGTCTAAATATGGCATTTCTATATGGTCCATAGTAACCAAATTCTGATGCGTTTACCTCAGTGGGAGCTACCAATATTTGGTAGCCATGAAAACGCCGCCAGTAACGCTTTCATCTGGCTGTTACGTGTGTGCTCAAATGCCCTATGTCTGTCTCTTTGTATCAACATGTAAGTTTTTTCCATACACTCTAAAACAGCGGTGTCAAACTCAATTTAATCGTGGGCCGCATCAACATTTTGGTTGCCCTCAAAGAGCCTGTAAGACTATATAAATGTATCTAATCTGTATCATAATTGCCTCTGCATTCGATTATCACTGGTTTCAGTTATAACTTAATACCTAGATCTGAAAGTTGAAGTCTAGAAATGGCCTTGAGTTTGATACATGTGCTCTAAGGGTTCATATACACAGGTGTGCAGTATGTTGCGTTCAGATCCGTAATGTGAATGCAGAGCTATTGTATGCTATGGGCCTATTCAGTTCCATTTTGCTTTGTAGCGTCTAGCTGCTTAAACCAAAACAAGAAAACTTGTCTGATGCGCCCATGGTCCGATTTCGACCGTATTTCTTACTGTACGCATTAGGGATGCACCAGTTTCGGCCACCGAAACATACCGGACGAAAATGGCGCTTTTGGCAAAATGCTGAAAGTGCCATCTTTCAGCAAAAATAGTGGTGCATCCCTGCTTTCCCTCCTTCCCGGCTGGGCACTGCTCTGTGTTCCAGGGGGGAGGAGAGAAATTGTCACCAGAGGCCAAATAGTGCGGGAGGAAGAGATTGCTGTGAGCGGTTGGCGTCTCGCCTCCTGTAACAGATTAGGAGAGTGGTGCATGGGCGGAGACAGCTGTCATTGTTGTCACAGTAGGCTGAGCTCTGCTCCCGCACCACCCTGCTTAGCCTCCTGTGACAGATCAGGAGAGCGGCAGTGTGTGGGCGGAGTCAGCTGACACAGGAGGCCGGCGGTGCGGAGGAGGAGTCAGCTGTCAGAGCAGATCGAGCTCTCCTCCTTGCACCGCTTGCTCAGCCTACTGTGACAGCTGTCAGGATGGAGAGCGGGTACAAGCAGTCAGTGACCAGTGATTGCTGAGTGTTTGTAGATAATTGAGGACAGAGTATGTTTACTGTGTCCCCAATTATGAATGAATGGGAAGTGATCTACATCACCTCCTGTTCATTCATGATTGTGAACACAGTAAACACACTATAGCCACAAGTTATGAATGAACAGGAACACTCAGTATAGAGGATTCCTATTCAATTATAACTGAGGCTGCAGAAAAAGAGATTGAGGACTCTGTGTCCTCAATCTCTTTTTCTGTTTAAAAAAAGAAATATCAGGGGTCTGTTTGGATCCCCAATATTTCCTCGAAGGTGTAAGGATTTCCGTAAAGCAGAACTGAAGCTGCATTTTTTTCATCAGAAAATTCTAGTTGTCTGTCTGGCATTCTTATGTGGCCACTGCCTTGTTCTCTGAACCACTGACCCACAACAGGAGTTTTGACTTCACCAGCTGCATGCTTGTTTCGGGTCAGTGGTTTGGTGAAAATTGAAGCCATTTAATCACCCAATTATTTCCATTCGACCAACAATAAATCACATGTATATGGCCTCATGCACATGGCAGTAATGGCCATATAGCGTACAATACGGTTGTATTTGTTCTCTGCCGGGAGTGAGAGGTGCATCTCACAGCTATGGCCAGCCGGCCTGTACAGATCAATGGCAGGATGTGGCTACATGCAATAGCAATGGTTTCCTGTATATATGAATGCAGCTGCCGCCTGTCATTGATTTACACAGGCTGGGTGGCCATGGCTGTAAGCTGCACCTTTTGCTCTCAGCAGAGAAAATACAGCTGTAAGGTATGCTATACGGCCATTACTGCCATGTGCATGAGCTCCAAAAAACTGGAGCAGAGGAAAGGCATCTGTCCTGCCCATAGCAGATGTCAGCTGATCGATTGCTATGAATAATACTTATCTCTTTTATTTAAATATCTGCCGCAAGTTACTGTTCGTTCCACGTCCATCCTGACACTCGATAATTCATTTCATTAGTGAACACGTTTTTGGGCCGTTCTATGTGATAATTATGAGAATGGGATCTCTGGTTTTAGAACAACTCTAAATTTGCAGTGCTTCTCCCTCACAGCAGGAGCTCATTTAAGATCTTTCATTCGTAAATCATCTCCTGGAGCATTAACAC